TGCTAAGGGCTGGGTCTGATGTGCTATTCTTGCAGCAACTACTTTGAGGGAAGGGGCTGCAACAGAGAGTAATGCTTTCTCCCCTCACCTCCTCCTTTCCCCAGTTCCTTCATCTCTGCCAACAAAACCAAATGTGTAATTCCTGCCTAAATGGTTGTATCAACATTATTTCTTCAGCTAAACAGTAGTTAGTTTGGTTTTTAGTGTGGACTAGAAGTCAACTACATATGCTATTATCCAGGCTAATGTAAGAGGCAGCAACTGTGGGAAAAGAAGTTGGAGGGGCTGTGGGGAGCAGAAACCTCTGTGCCCTAAGAAGGAGGTTTGACCTTTGAGGAGACAACAAGGAGCAAGATAAGAAAGGCACTGATGGACACGTGGGACTGCAGGCACAAAGCACACCTGACTAAAGGCCTATGTACACTCACCTTTAGACTCGATCTGCAGAGTCACACTAATGCCACAAAGCTAGTTCCCAGCAGCTTTGTAAAGCAGTGTGTACCCTGCAGCTATTGCTGCCACAGCTGAGCAAGCTCATCTGGGCACTGCTGGCAGCACTGTTGTAGCAGCACAAAGGTTAGGCCAGGGCTGTAAAAACCTGCCCATAAAGCTAGGTCAGTGCATAGGTTAGTGGACACACTTTTGCAGCAGTGAAACTACCAACAACAGGGAGCCAGCAAGTACAATGTGGCAGCATTTGCACACAGGGACTGGACTGTAACCATCTCTACTGCACCACTGTTATGCCAAGCTACAGTGCAGACAGTCTTAAACAAGTCTACGCAATATTAAAGTTCCTCACATACAGGGAAAAGCCAAAATTTAAAACAAGGTAGGTTAAAACAGGTTTTAAAACAAATACACACATCTGCACGTGGAAACACAAACCTACAACTGGCCCTCTGCTCATTGCGGACACCAGGCAGGCACCAGCCTCAGAAGAAGAATGTACTTCACAGTCTTGCCAACAGCCTCTGTCACTTCCCATATTTACAGTGTTCATATTTTCCTGATCTCCAGGCCATCCTAATAGCATGGTCAATTCTCATAAATATTATGTGATCAATTGCCAACACAACAGAAGGGATGGTCACACCCAAGATGCTCCTAAAATCACTTACGTATTATCCCTGGCTTTCCCCACCAACATGTAAATCATTTAAGGAACACCTTGTTCAGCTGCTTTTAATAATGAAATGTGCCATGTTACCATTTCAATTGGTACATTCTATCCTTATCAGATGAGTTCCATAAGAAATAACACCCACTTCTTTTCAAAACTATTTTCTAAATTAAAAAGAACACCACTTAAAAGGAGGTGTTCCTTACACACAGGACTCCTGGCTCCCCTAAAACCACCGGTGGTACCAAAAGAAATAAATACAGTAATAAGTTCACAAGAAAAAATATGCATATGAAAATATATTACAAAATGTCCTGAGATTTATGTCTTGATATGTTTAGTATCAAGTATATGTTTAGTACCACTAAAGCTCTTGAAACAAAGCATTTACTAATCTCATCACGTATCAGCAAGACTATATATATTGCACAGCTTTTAGAAATTGCTAAGTGCTCATCACATGTTCTGCAGTTCAGACCCTTATATAGGTTAAGAGTTAAAGACTCATCACAGTTCAGAGGAATGCACTTTATTTCCAGGGAAAAAAGACCCAAACCCTGGCTGTGCTGGGTTCCGTGCTTACAGCACACTGCCCTCAAGCTTGGATGAAAAGTGATCAAAATTCCCATCCTGAAAGCTGGGCTCTCAAGATCAAGGCAACTACCACATAGGATATATTTTAATGGGCAAAAGAATGTATGTTTTCAACTTTACCTCCCAATATAGTATGAAAAATGTCTTACTGTCACGCAGCCCCAGCCTGCTACAACTCACCAGGTCAGCTCCTGACACCAAAGCCCACCAGCTTGGTGCACAGACGTTTAAAGGGAGTTCCCTTCTGGGGAACGATGCGCTTCGGGAGCAGTGTGCCAGGCAAGGGAGAGAGGCAGAAGGTCCTCTAAAGGAGCCATTCTGCCCAGCACCAGTAACTGCAGCACAAGAAACAATCAGATGGTCTGAGACTGACTGGTTTCTCAGGTGGAAAAAAACAGGAAAGAAAAATCCTGCCAGCAGAGTGTTACACTGGAATCCTTGCGGGTCTCTCCAGCCTTCTGCTGCCTGTCACAGGTCCTTCCAACAGAAACCCCAGGGCCTGAGGTGTCTGTCACACCACCTAACAAACAGAGCTCTTGGAAAGGCTATACATGCTGAACAAATACACAAGAAATTATTCATTGTTTAATAATCTGCCAGGAGATAGAATGTAGGATGTATATTTCCAGTTCCAAGTAGATGAAAGTTTTTTATATTCTAATTCTTTAGCCCTACAACAACATTTTTTTTTTCTTGTTCTTTCTTAAAAGAATCCCACCTAATCACTACAGGAACTTGCTGTATAGCCCTTATTCCCATGAGCCATGTTTCTGCAAAGCTCAAACACTTTTACATCTGAAACTTGCTTCGTCTCATGGATACAATAGCTAATTTTGGACTTACCCTACTCCTGCTGGGCCAGAGTCATCACTGGCATAGCTCCACTGTAATTCAGTCTACTGATGCATTACAGAGAATGCACAACACGAGCTAATCCTTAATGATGTTTTTTCCCCCCACCCTCTCCAACATACTTATTTGAGTAAATAGTAAAATGACATATGTAGAATTACTAAAAGAAAAACCGACACAAAACAATACCCAAACTAAAACCACACTTAAATTGTCTTGTAAGCACTAATTTCAAATGACATGGCAATCAGATTCACAGATACATTAGGACAAAGAGCACAGTCCAGAGGAGAACACACAGCTTGAAGTCACAAGGCCTGCTTATAGTTCCAGCTCTGCCACTGACTTCTAGACAAGCTGTTTCACATTTCCCCACCATTCCCCAATCTCTGATATATTAACCTCTCAGTACACAGCTGCAGAGGGTCCAGTGCAGACTAATCCAACTGCATTCATTTAGCTCTCTGTATTATACATCCCAAATAATAAAAGTATGTATAAAGTGTGATGTTTAAAAACTAGTGCCAAGGCAGAAAGAGCTACCAGCAGAATATCCTGACACTTCTCACGTACCAAGGTTTAAGATCTGCAGGATCCAGGTTCTGTGTCATAAATGAATATAAGATGTTTTAATTTCTCTACAGATTTCCTTTAACAGAGCAAGATCTAGGGGAAACATTCACTTCTGTGCAATAGGGACAGCCAGGACAATCTCTGAAGGTAGTAATATTTACAGCTTGTGGTATTTGCTTGTGTTGTTACTTATTTTCAATCTTTAAAATGTTTTTTCTAAATGAAACCGTCTCACTCCACCCATCTCTCTGCTTCCTTTGCATCATAAAACGTCAAAACTTTCCTCCCTTATATAAACCACCTTGTTACTAGTAAAAGAAGAAGCAAGAGGCTTCACGCTCTGCTCGCTAACAGGTCAGCCTCAGCTAGGCACAACACCCAGGTCAGAGCAGCAGGGCTGCCTGAGTCATTTTCTTCTTTTGAAACGGTGTTTCAGGGAAGCAGCTTAAACAGGGTATTATTGGTGTGGAAAGCATACTGCTCACCAAGAATTGAAAAAGAGAGGGTTTAAGGCATATTTATCAGGAGGTAGCTCTACAGGTTTTGATTTCTGCTTCAACTAGGCAAAGCCAGAGTCGCTAACAAAGCCTGAGGTGTCTATTTGCATTACTGGCCAAAATCTTAGCCACAGTCAGTCATTTATCACTAAAAAGATGAGAAGACTTTATTTTTCTTTTAAAAATAAAAAAAAGCCACAACAAAACCCCACCACTACAGTTGCAAGAAAATGTTACGAGTTCCAAATATCTACATTTCTAAGCTACTTGCTTCACTTTTTCATGCAACAGATGCTGCTTTGTATTAGCTACTGCATATTAAATCATTGTGACAACCAAGAAAGCATACATTTGTTTGTGCGAGAGAGAAGCATGAATACACACACAGAGATATCTTCTCACGCAGAAGCATACAATTATGCAGCATTCAAATATTTGGGATGAACTTTGGCCTTTGTTTAACAAAAAAACGTACCCTCAAACAACAATCAGTAACAGAATCAGTAGTCATCTGGCTGAGCTCACAGAAAGCAACAGACCCGCAGCAATAAAACACCACTTGTGGCCAGCTATTTGAAACTTACTTGGAAATATACTCTTAGATAGGACACTTATATACGCATCCTTTATGATTTATGATGGCCTTACGGATCGATCTCAGAATGAAGGCTAAAAAGCAAATCTATGTTAATTCAAAAAACGTGAATAACTTCAGTTTTATCCCCTCTCACACGCTTTTTGTGCACTCCAAACAATCCCCTTCAGCCATTCCATCTGTATTCCCGATTTAAAAAGTAATCTGAAAACATATGCACAGCAGGGCTCTAAATCACCTCTTCAGAGTAATATCTGTCTAGCTAATATGGAAGAAACCAAGCAACCCAACCAAAACCATTTTCGTGATACATTAATCAAAAGACAATCTGAACCTAACAGTACTGGAGAACACGCTGAAACTTTTGACAATGAGACTATCCACAATAAGTATCACTGTAATCCAGAGCGCTTCCAACTTTTTTTTATCTCGGCTGGAGACATATTTTCTCCCCTACATTCCCCTCTTACTTTCTTCCTCTCTTGTTACTAGACAGTAATCCAATTCTCTAGCCAGTTATATTTTTTTAAACTATATATAGAGCCAGGATAGAGCATGCAGGAGAGGACTAACACCGCACCGAAGTGCAGCGGGGCTGGAAAGCAAAACAAGCCCTCTGCCAGGCTGTGCGGAGCACGCCGAGCCCCTCGGGAGAGGGCTGCGACCGAAGGGCCTCTTGAGCACCCCGGGGCCAACGCGAGGACACCCGGGCCGGGGTGCCCCTTGTTTTGGGCTTACCACCACCACCACCGCGGACCCCCCTTACCTGGGGATGGTGATGCACTTGGTGTTGATGTTCTGGGTGGTGATCGCCTTCTCCAGCTCGTCCAGCTGCCCGGTCTTCTTCAGCTTCTTCACCAGGCTCTTCACCGCCTTCTCGCACCATTTCTCCTCCTGCCCGTTCTGCTCCCCTTTCTTCCAGCCCAGCAGCCGCTTGACGATGGGAGGAGTGAAAGGCAGGATGGAGGACATGCTGGCTCGCCCGGCAGC